TGGGATGAAGGTGTTGCATTGTAGGGCCGCATGGACCTCCAGGTACATGATTATCAGTTTTTTGCATGAAGCCCAATCGTTTTTCTGGTAGATGTCCGCTCTTCGAGAAAATGCAAATTTCAAGTTCATTGAAAGTGGAAATGTTGTTGAAGCGGTCGTTCGTTAAAAAATCCAAATATGTAAAAGAGTTCACTTACATGGTGAAAGAGAATGAAGGCGGTCGTTCGCTGCAAAATGCACTCGTTTCTGATTTTTCGGTAAAGATGAGTATTTCTCATGCTCACCTGCAGTGAATTTCCCTTCCAAGCAATTTAGAATGCATTTGAAAGCAGCGAAGTTTTATCAGCCCCGCATCTTTTCCGGTTAGCGAAATAGCCGCTTCGCTACAAATATTTTTGGAGTGCCCTAAGTCGTAGCACAAGTGCAAATCGGAATTCAGTTTAGACATACAATTTCCCATATGGGCGATAAACAAACAGGCAAAATTTCAGTCACTGTTTTAAGACAAGTTTCCAGGTTATCATAGTACCAAGTTGCAAACTTTAACGTAATCGTACGCGCTACACAAGCGTGCGCGACAGCTAAATTTGAAAACTTCAGCTCGCAAATGCATTGAAAATATCCCTGCAAAGTTTCAGCTTTGTACCTTGCCTGGTCCGCGAAATCATTTCCCGCCAAAAAAGTCTGCATATTTTTTCGGAAGTTTGTACGCGGGATTTATGCGCGTATGAGCGAAATTTTTAAAACGGGAGATGAAACACGAGGTGAGAACATATATTCAAAACTTCAGCCTCTCAGCTTTCCTGGTTGCTGACATGAAAGTAGGTGACAAAGTTCACTCGCTTCCGAGTATATACACACAGATGACCCCTCGATAATACGCGTTTCTGCTGGCTGTAGCAGCGCTATGGCGTTGCTATAGCCCTGCACAACAAAAACGCATAATAACGATAATAATAACAATAATAACAATGAAAATAATCACAGCAATAATAATAACAGTAAAAAAGACTCACGCACCCAAACAGAAGTAGTACTCCACAAATGATAAAGGCAAGCAGGCCGGCACGTGTTTGCGTCTCCGTTACGATTGTTTTATGACACATTGGACAAGTCATGTTACATGGATGCGAACCGAACACAGGTACGCCAACAATAACTGGAATTGCCTGGGGCTGTGGTACTGAGCTCATCCCGGACGGAGGAGCTGAAAAACGCCAATTTTTTTTTTTTTTCTTTTAAATGGCCATATACAGCCAAGAAATTTATCCGGTGGGGAAAAAAAAAGACGGTGATAACACGTCCGTGAAATTAGTGAAAAATGAACGGCTCCTA